TGTGTGTGTGTGTGTGTGTGTGTGTGTGTGTGTGTGTGTATGTGCATGCGTGCGTGCGTGTGTGTGTTTGCGTTTGTCAGTGTATAGACGAAGACCCAAGATATTCTGAGGACACAAGGCCATAACCAGAGTGAGAAGCTTGACCCATCTAAAAAAAAAAAAACAGTGCACCATGAAGAGAAACTGACTGCTTTATATGGTAAATCTCAATGCATTTATTTCTAGGCTAACTCTGTTTGTTTTATAGTTGCTATGCATTTTGTTTTGTTTTATGTTGTGCATTGTTGTTTTGTTTTGGGACTATTTCAACAACTGGTAAAGGTATGCTTATTAAAATCTAGAGAATAACTGTGTATTAATTCCACATTTTAATTATGTTTTAGAACTGACACCAAAGAATTCTTAAAGGAATAGTTCACTTCACTCAGTTATAATTATGCAATCATTGATATTTCCTGTATGACTTTCTTTCTTTTATGGAATACAAAAGGAGGTATTCTAAAGATATTCCAATTTTCTGTGAAAAACAAAGTTGAACACAAAGCCATCATATGATGCCAGAAAACTTAGAATATAGCAAATTGTTATTTATTGTCCTTTTTTTTTAGCTTGAATGTCTCTGGTGAGCAAATGATGACAGAATATTCATTTTTAGGTGAACTGTGCCTTTAAAGGTTCATTTTTGTAGGACCATATTGTAAATGTTATGATAATGTGTAATTACTTAGTCATTTAAGCACATGTAAATCACTGAGTTTGCATACTTAAACAGTATGTGTACAGCAATGATGTCAGACAGAGAACAAAAGCGAGTAAGCAAAGCCAAAGTCAGCAGGAGGTTCTGTAGTGGATGGGATATAAAAGAGGAGCGGGGGGACACAGGAAGTGTGGTAAGATCCGGTAGGCGCACATGTTTTCTGTGGCGCCTGCAATGCATTGCGGATTGAGATAAGAACCAGGCGCAGAACTGTCATACTGTCATAGGGAGGATATGCTTGTTTGGGATTAAAAATATATAACCTCCTGAAACTCTTGCCCTCATACTGTATGTGAGGGTATGGCTGTATTTGTTGGCCCTTGGAAATATGAATCTTCCTTGGGAGTTCACAGTTAGAAGGAGAGGAAAAGAGTCAGAGAGGAAATACACTATGGACACAAACAAAACAGGAAAGGAAAACGCTGCAGATGTATTCAGATGGACGTCATTAGGAAGAGTATTGTATCATGTCCTTTATTCAGATACAAAAGAGTCTGACTACTGGCTACACTCCATTAGGTGGAGATTTGTAAAGGAAATGGGCCCCACTAGCTCTTGGCAATGCTGACCTTTCGACCTCACAATAGGAGCAGGGATGGGCTGTAGACTTGTTTTGACTGAATAGTTATATATAGTGTGTCTATACTGTGCCTCACAGTGCCATAGAATTGTAGTAGCACTGTGACTGAATAAAATGCTCCATTTGACTAGCCTGTTACTTTTACTTTTGGAACACAGAAGCTTGACCTTTGGCCTATTTTTTTGTTTGGCCTGAAATTCTTGCAAATATTTTATTTTATTTGAATTTTACAATTGTATATTTCTTTCTTAAATTCTGTATTTATTCCTTATTTGAAAACTTACTTAATTTCATAATATAAATTTTTACAACTGATTTCACATATAAAATTTTAGAACAAAACAATTTTGCTGATTGATTGTTTTTAGAATTTATTCTTTATTTGAAAACTTACAGTAATCTTATAATATACATATTTAATGCTAATTGCACCTCTAAAAAATTTGCCTTTAAAAACATAAAAAAATATGAATCTATAAAATGTACCACATAATGTTAAATCTTGTTTATTGTCACTTTGTATTTTTTCTAGCTTCATACAGCAAAATCAGTCAATCAATCAATCAATTAAAACAAAATAAAAAAAATACTGATTTGTGTATTTGTGAAGTGTTTTTATGATAGTCAGAAAACACCCAGAACACATTAGCAGCCACATTTTAGCATGTGCTGAAAATAAGCACCACTCACTTTATCAACATTATTTTCAGTTTTTTTTATCCTCTGGGTTTGGAAACACAGGACAAAGCCAGGATGAATGTGAAAAGGAAGGAGATGGATTTCTTGAGCAACACTATTGCTGCTTACGCTCACATTAAAGGTATGTGCTTTTCCCATGTTTAACATGCAGCTCAGGTTAAAAGAACAGCAAACTCATATGAATATGTTCCAGTGAATAAACCAGACTCCTTTCCCCATCTGTTCAGCCAATCCAGAGAGTTTCGGCCTTTACTTTGTCGTCGGCGTCTGTTTTGGCCTGGTGCTCACTCTCTGCCTCTTGGTCATCCGGATTTCCTGCAAGCCTCGGACCACTACGGCATCCCCCACGCCAGAGAAAAAACAGCTGAAAGACTATAGTGAGGAAGACGAAGAGAGCGATGATGAGGAGGAGGAAGATGCAGGAGGCCTGGAGTCCTCTATCCAGCACAGCACCACAGAGATTGCCATGAGCAACCACCTCATCACGCCGGACGGGACTCTGAGCAGGAACGTGTTCACCTCAGCTGAGGAGCTGGAGCGGGCACAGCGATTGGAGGAAAGGGAGAGGATCATCAGGGAAATCTGGCGAAACGGACAGCCAGACATTCTGGGAACAGGGACAGGCACTATTGGAAGAGTGCACTACTACTAACACTCATGAATACAAACTCAAGCCATTTCACTGGTTGAGTGCAGTACTTTGGAAGACTGTTAATGGACAGTGTTTCCATTTTTTTTTATACGTTGGACTGATGTTATTGTAATCCTACAGACCACGGGTACAGCTGTTCTGTATGCAACATTTGGTTGCTGTCAGTCTCCATGTCATGGTGCTTATTAAAAAGTCATCTTAAAGCACAAATTTAGACTTTGATGTCAGAGTTGATGTTTAAAAATGATTTGTGAATTGTACGTGATTATTAGAAGCTCACTGAAAGCAAATGCACTTTTGCACCATGCCATTTATTGTGTATAGATTTTTTTTCCTTGCTATTTTTGTACTTTTTTTTTAAAGTCCCCCATGTCAAATCATGCAGTAACTCAGAACAGAAATTAAAATTTGATGCAGATGAGATCATTATTTTCATGATTTATACTAATTTGTCTAAATGAAAAAAAAAACAAAATGCAAAAAGCTAAAGTTAATTGTTTTAAATGCAATAATGTGAAATAGCAAATAGGCATCACAACATTATAATGTATGATATGAAAACTAGATATTACTTTGAGATTTGTAATGTTTTTCAAGATTAATTTTGAGAGTTTGATGATGGTAAAATGTGAAAGTAAAAAAGTGGGATTTTGAAATGAGCCTGCACAAGAAAAATCAATTATCGCCCAATATTGATAAACAACTCATAACTGATATGGTACCGATATATAGTGCATTCCTAAATAAAGCCAAAAAAAAATAAAAAATACAAATCCTGCTCAACACGGGTCATGCTCAGAATCTCAAGTAACATGGTTATACCAATCAGCAGACGCAGGTTAAAACAACCAAGGGTTGATTTGCCAAGCAATCATCTGTTAAAACTCTCAGAGCCATCAAGAGTATATCAGTAACAAATATTAAATGACATATTTGCACACCTGATTAATCAGATCTTCATGTGCGTTTTACAATAAATTTCATGGTTGTTTTTTGGGCATCTTGTCTTTCATGATCAAGTTATATTTGCTCACCAAATTGATGTTATTGTATCATTTTAGTTCAAATATTACCTCTGACTATGGAATGTGGAATAATACGACGAGATCATGGCTAGATGTGTTTGTTATAAATATTATTGAGCTTTACATTCATTGAAAATACTGAAACTCAAACATTTAGACTAAAGCATACCAATAAAAAGTATTTACACAGGACAGAATGCTAGTTTTCTAGTAAAACTACTTTGTCATTGTTTAACTAAAAGTAAACTTGAGAACTGCTCATAGGACCCACATGACATCCATAGATGAGCCCGAAAAAGTCAAGAATTTGAGTCTGTTTTGACTGATGGTACTGTCATCACTGTAATTCAACCTACAAACATATTTCTATTTGGAATTAATCTGTGTCATTAAATATAGTCCATTCCCAATGATTATGACTATGAAGATCTAATGTATTCCACATGGTTTCCAGATGCTGTTTTCGGTCTAAAGGGAAATTAAATCCACACCAGTCTCACATCACATCTTCACCAAGGGAAAATTGACTTTCACATTCTGGTTAGGGACAAAGCAAAGCCTATTCATGCCATTCAGAGCTTTTAAACAACATTTGCAGGTCACAAATGACCTGGAGTCAATCAAATTGTGTTTTGTGTCATTTCATAAGATTCTTTTCAATAAGGTCACGGGGGTTATGAAAAAATTATTTTAATACTTTGTTCATATAGGTTGCATGCATTTGATACCAGTTCTGTATTTGTACAATGGTATATTTCACTCACAAAAATAAAGTCATCTTGTTTTATATCGTAACACAGATAAAACATTTATGCTTTAAAAAAGATGCCATGTCATGCTTATCATGAACGTCTCTGGGTAAATCAGGCTTGGAGCAAAAACATTTCTACAACATCAGTGGAACTATCTATTGATTTATTTGTTACAGAACACAACCACAAAGCAGAAATATATTAATAATAGAAAGTGTGTTAATACCTTAAAATATGACCTACATTATCCCTAAATTTCCATGAAAATATAAGATATTGGATATCTGCTATTTACACATTTCAAAAAAATGCACATATGTCTTAAGAAATGAGTGGCCAAGACTCCCACAACCAAAAGAGCTCATAAGCAGAGTATGAGAACCCAAGAAGTATTTTTGTAGTTCTGCTATCTGAATGGAGCTCTAGCTTCTAGTCCACTCAACCAAGAATGAATCATTCAGTCACATGTGCTGGATTTCCATTCCCTCAACATCCTCTTTCTGTAGCCTTTACGTCCATGTCGAAGGATCACTGGGGGTAGTGAAATACTTCTGGTGTTCAATGTTCACTGTTTTTTCCTCAAAGCCTCCACTTCATCCTATAAGCATTAAAATATTATTTAATAAGTTGTACTTAGCAACAAGGGAAGACTAGCATTAAGGTGAGACTATATTTAAATTCTACAGTGTAAAAACAAGCTGGATGCCATTATTCTGAAGTAAAAAAAAAAAACTTCCATCAGTTAAGAAATATTGTTAAAAGTCATTTTATTAAAGTTTAACACTGCCTATTTGGCTATTTTTAAGGTTGTTTATAGATGGCACAGGTATCCTTTATGTGATGCAGATGTTTGGAGGTTCTATCAGTTCAGCTTGCATTTTTATCTCACTGCTGCTCTCTTGAGGATGAAGATGGTACTTATGGTTTTTTGTGCCATTGACAACTAGATTTAATTTGGAATACAGGATTTAAATTAGGGGTGGCACGATACCATTTTTTCAGAAAGGATCCTGATCCGATACCAAAAGTTCTGAGTATCGGACAATACCGATACCGATCCGATACCAGCACAGTTTGTTTTTTTTCATTTCTATACCTCAGTGTGTTTTGACCTGATCATCACTGTTTTGTGTATTACACACAATCTACTAAATATAGACAACTTCATTATAAAGAAAAATAAATTAAAAAATATATAATCATAATCTATGAGAAAAATACTATTATAAACTAGGTTAGTGGATAATTCAGCAGCAAAAGTTACTCTACAAAAATTATGAGTTCACAATAATTTAATAAAATCTAAACATTTAGATTAAAAAACTATTTTGTGGGGGGGAAATAAAAGTAAATAGGTAATCTGGTAAAATGTTACACATTGCTCTTTGTATTGTAATATACATTCATGAAAAACAAGTAAATATAATTATATATAAATATATGAAATAAATTAACATTTCTTTTACATTTATAGCACAGTAATGAGGCAGCAACATATGATAGATAAGACAGAACAAGAAAGATGCGCAGTGCATTATATCTGTGCGATAGTTTATTGAGCATTTTCTTTTGACAGTTTTAAATTTCAGTTACTGTGCGCATGAAGAACAATTCATAGTGCTCTCTACTCCAGTGTTGTGATCTAACAGACACCCGGTAGAAAGTAACATGATTTAGAATTAGCACTAAACTCCAACAAGATAAAGTCCTTTTATGCAAAACCACTGATGTTTATCTACAGATCAAGTATAATAATAGGAACATTGTATCATCCTAAAGAGAGTTTCGTCGTCTTGACTGTCGTAACCGAACGCAGCGGAGAGAATATTTAAGTGAACTTGAATTTAACGACTTAAATATTAATCTGTACCTATGGAACGGTCTCAGAACACTTGAAATATAGTGCACGGAAACTTTATGGTGCTTTATAATGTTTTTGTGTCTTTCGTGGGGCTTAACAATAACACAATAGTATATGCACAATATCGGATTTGGATCGGTCTCGTCTGACCGATACCCCGATCCAGCAGAAAATGACAGTATCGGAGCGATACCGATACTGAATATCGGATCGGCGCACCCCTAATTTAAATGTATTTATTTTTACTGTATGAGGAACTCTGATGTAAAAAAAACAAATCACTGCAATCTACTTCTGTTTTTGCCTTTTTTTTCTAATTTGTTTGTTGCTCAAACAACTGAAAGTTTGCCCTAATTCTGTTACACTACTTCAAGTCTTTGAAGAAAGTAAAGCCACAAATATGTGATTTGTGAATTCCAAGTCATAATTTTTAATATGGTATTTCCGTGAACTCTACCAGTTTGTTTTAGATGCATATATTAGCATATATAATAAAGTGAGACTTTATTACCTCCACAGAATAGACTCAAATCTCACCACTCACCTGTAATCTCATTCTTTTTTCCATCTCGTCCTTCAGTTCATCTTTAAGCTCCTTTATGTCTCTCCTGGTCATTAAAGAGGTATATTGCAATAAGGTTAATGTGTGATATGGTCATTCAGGTGTGGTAGTTAGGGGTTTATACTCACTCATGCTGCGCTTTGAGGAGATCCAGTGACATGCGGAGATCTTTGAGTTCAGTCAGCACAGAGGCCAGGGAAGCGCTCTCCTCCTGAGCCACAGCTTTGCTTTCAGTCGGTGTCTTGGGTGGTGAAGTGGTCTTAGCCACTTGGTCTGTCTTGGTGGACGGTGATGACTGAGGTTCTGTAGCCTGTGAAAAAAATACCAGCAGCTGAGCAACTGAGGCATGAAGAGGGATATAACTCCCAGGACAAGATGACAAAATGTTCATACGTGTACATTACTGTTCAAAAGTCATTTTTTATTTTCATTTTTTAAGAAATTGATCATTTTATTGCACAAAAGCATGTTAAATTGATAAGTGACAGTAAAGACTTTTACATTGTTACAAAAGATTTAAAAGAAAATGCTGTTCCTTTATACTTTCTATTCATTAAAGAATCCTGAAATAAATGTATCATGGTTTCTACAAAAATATTAACAGCACTACTGTTTTCAACACTGACAATAATAAGAACTGTTTTTTAAGCACCAAATCAGCAAATTAGAATGATTTCTGATCATGTGACACTGAACACTGGAATAATGGCTGCTAAAAATTCAGCTTTTCCATCACAGGAATAAACTACATTTTGAAAGACAGTTTAAATTGTAATAATATTTCTCAATATTACTGTTTTTATTGTATTTTTCATCAAAAACATAAAAAAATCTTACTGCCCTCAAACTTTTGAACAGTAGCATATACCAGACATTTAAGGAGATGTTTTGTAAATATAATTCCATTATGTAATGTCATTAATTTTACAACTTTTGGGAACACTTTAGAACAACTTTCATTAATAGCCCTTTAAAACATTATATAATGCTTAACAGATCAATAGTTAATGTACTTTCAAACATGAATCCCATTTTAAATATTTGAAGGCACATGAGCTGATATGATCTGTGAAGCATTATATAATGCAATAATATCATGAATGAAAGTTATTATAAAGAGTTATCCAAACCTCTGGAATATTTTGTGGTAATCCATC